AAACAGAACTACAAATTCTCTATGAGTTCATCTTTTAAAGAGGTTCTAGTAGATCTACGGGCCTACTGGAACTTTTCTTTTTCTTCATCAAAACTCCTTTCACAGTCGGTCAGGTCGACGGACACCCTGATGTTTCACACAGGCTGTTACTGATACTCACACGTGTCAATTGTGAGTTTATTTCGCCTGCTAATTCACACACTAAAAGCGGAATTTCGCATTTTTCCAAAACAAAATCCTCTTGGGAGAGAGTGGAGTAAGAGTACAGGCCACAAAGAGGGGCTCCCACTGTGGCTACATCTGCACATTCTTCCAGAAAGCAGCAGCTCCACAGAATTCATTTCATCCTTCATGGAGCCCGGCAGGAGCGCGCTGCCCTTTTCCACCCTGCCAACCAGAAGGCCGACCCAAAAGAGGGATCTGGATGGAATTAATAAGTTATTTAATAGACCTAAACGGATGTCTGAACCCCTCACCTATCTTTACCTCCACAGAGCAAACAGGAGGTTGTGAAGGTTGCATGCCACAGATCAACAGCTCCTCTCTCTCTTCATTTTTCCTGAACTTTTGCATGAAAACGACGGAGGATTCAGGAATGATTAAACTAGCTCTGTGAGGAGCCCCCCCAGTGCTCTGCTCCCCCATAACTTTATTATGTGGATCATAAACACTGAACTCATATTCCTTTAAGCCAGTTAGCCAACACATTGAGTTTGTTGGGGATTTATCATCCCGATGTTTGTCCCCTACTCCACCAACATGCAAAGCTAATACGTTTACAGTCACAGCCAGAAAACCTAGAAGTGACATTAATGTTCCACGTTGGGATGTTTCTCCTTTCCTGTTATATTGAACAACAATTTTAAACATTTATCACGTTTCTGTCGTATTTATTAGCGAATACTCAGAGTTTTAAAGTCATAAATCTCTACTGTCATTACGTAACCATAGCGAACCATGCATCAGTGCATGCATGCTAGTTATGAAGGATTTAACAAAACAATGGCAGCGACTGTCCATTGACTCTACAATCATCCCAGAGGAGTGAACTCTGCAGGTTCTAATCAGCTGAGTTTCCTTAGATAGAAAACTTTTAACCAATCTGTCTGGATGATTTAATTAACCTGACTCTGTCAAGTGCCTTGAGATCACTTGTTTTTTTCTGAAATGCCTTGTATAGATAAAATAATTGGATTTTATTTATTAGAAGAGTCCATGGACTCCTTTCCATTGCAGAGACTTTCAGATATTTTCCAGGAATGTGATAAATGCAATTTTATCCCAGTAATTTGAGATATAAAAGGTTTAGGTGGGCACGCTTGGCTCAATAACAGGTCCTGGTGTGGAGGTGGGTTGTTAAGGGATTTTCAATTTTCAATGTTCTAAAAATGCCTATGTTAAGCTCTGCACTGGTGGCATGAGGCAGTGTTCCATTGGTAAAACTAGGTGGTTGACTATGGCCCCAAGTTCTTGAAGCCCCATAAAACTCCTTACTACTTATTTGCGCACATTAATCATGTTTTAGATTAAAACTAGTGTTGCGCCGATGCCATTTTTTGGCCCCAATACCGATACCCGATACCTGGCTGTGCAGTATCGGCCGATACCGATACCATAATAATGTAAAATAATTGCCATCATGGCTTTGTCAAGCTGCTGCCTACCTTTGTGAAGCAGGAAAAAATCTAATACAAAGTGAATCCAGTAGAACAGGATAATAAAAATAAAAAGTTTTTATTGCCTACCAGGAGTGGGTGACAATAGTTGAATAAACTTATGGCTCTCAAAATGGTATCGGTGCCCTATTTGTTGGTACTCGCTGATAACGATACCACCATTTTAGGGCAGTATCGGGGCCCCGTCCGATACTGGTATCGGTGCAACACTAATTAAAACCCTTCCTATAAAATAGTAGAATATGCAGAAAGGATTCAGGAGAACGGCAGCAAAAAGGAGAGGAAAGGAGAGGAGAGGAGAGGAGGAAATCAGCAAGCAGTTAGTTAGCAGCTAGCTTGGATCCTTGCAACCATTTACACATCATGATAGCACGGTTCCTCGCCTCCTATCGGCAGTCCACAATACTACAGCTCTACAGGAATGTCAGGGTTCGGTTGATGCTCCCTCCACAGACGCTCCACTGAACCCCTCCCAAATTGAAGCTGACCGCAGACAGTGCCGCAGACAGGAGGTCGGCTTGTTTTTATGACCGTAATTGCAGAAAACGACTCGTGAAGTTTGACCCGCTAGAAAAGCGAGGTGCGCGAGAACGCTGGGACCCTATTGAATGCACTTGCTTAATGAATGCCATGTGCGTAACTTGCGTAAAAAATGTGAAACAAGTCATGCTTCCCAGAGCGGCTCTGGTACTGCCTGGAATCGTTAAGAGAATCGTTACGCGAGCTGCCAAACGGTGACAGGGAATTGGAACACATGGAACCGGTTCTGAACAGGAACTGCTTTTCAATTCCCATCCCTACTAGCTGTGGGTCTAGATACGGCCAAGGCGGCGAGGAAGTGAGGCCAAGTTTGTGCGACAACGGAGGTAAATGAGGGTGAAAAAGAGCGGGGATCCAGGTGGAAAAAGGGTCTCAGCGTTCTCTTCTAGCTGGTCCAAATTCACGAGTCCACAATGGCAGTCATACAAACATAACAAGCCAGTAAGGTACCAAACAGGAAATACGCATAGAGCAAGTGGATGCAGAATTGACCAATCAGAAGCCTCCTGTCTGCGGTCACCTACAATTTTTGAGAGGTGCACCAGAGTGTCTGCAGAAGGGGTGGAGGCGAATCTGCATTCCCTGCGACACACATTGAGACGACCTATTTTCTGATTATAAATCGGCCTTAACCCTGCCCAGTTACCCATTACCACTGATCTTATCCACCTGCTGCTAATGCTTTATATTTGGCTCAGCCTAGCCTTTGGGGCCAGATCATTAATGCTGTTTCTGACTTTGTTTTGAATTTGACACTTATTTTAAAAAAGTGATAAAAACTAACCACTGGAGTTTGTTTCCAAGTTTGAAGACGTTTCGCTTCCCATCCTGGATGCTTTTTTTTTCAATTAAAAATGTCAGAAATAGCGTTGAGTTGACTTGTTTTTGTTTTAAAAACATGCAAACTGAACTGAAGATGAGCGGGTCCACGCCTTGGGAATGGGCAGTCTTTGGGTTCTTTGTTAGCCTGCAACACCCAATACCTGTCTTTGTCTCTGAAAGGGGGGTCCCCCCTGATGTCATTTACATTGGGTTGCAATAAATGCAAAACTCTCTGCTGTTCTTGTCTTTGTCGTCCGCTCTATTCAGCTGGCTTTGGAAACACA